AAAGTGAAACACGCGTTTTTAGTCAAAACGATGTCGTTTTTGCAACCGTATGGTGCAGACGGTTGCACAGCATAATTTGTGATTTCTTACCTTCCATATCCAATTGTAATGCAATTAATAATATATATCAATATCAATATTTAATATAATTTTTAAATATATAAATTTTTATTCACAAATAGTAAATTAAATATTACATAAAAATTAAAATTTTGCAAATAACTTAATTTAAATTTAATTAATTTTTTCATGTATTTTGGGTAAGAGGCAGTATATATAGAATTAAAAGATACAATTTTGGTAGAAATAATAATTCCACATGTGCTGCAAAGAGTTTATTTTCCTAAAATTAGGTGTTGAATTATACCAGCTTTTCTTTGAATTTAGAGTCTCCAACAATCATTATTTTTTAGGTTACTTGCAAACATGGAAATTTTAATGAATGGGTTAAGTACATTTAAACCACGAGATGTTGGACCGCCATCTAATTTTTTGTACTTGGGTAAGAATTTTAAAAAGACCACAAATTTGAGCCACCAGATACTAGAACACCAATGAACAAACCAAGGTTAAGTCAATACAATTTGAACATTTCGTTTTTTTTTTTTTTTTTTAAATAATAGGTATATTATTATTATTATTATTATTATTATTATTATTATTATTATTATTATTATTATTATTATTATTATTATTATTATTATTATTATTATTATTTTGTGGTAGTTGTTATATATGTTAAAGTTTTCATGAGGCACGTTACATTGATGCATCAAACAGTTTTAGAAAGTTAGAATTGTTCCGGCAGACTTATATGTATGAAATAATATCGGGTGCATGAACATTTGATAATTTATCAGTCTGTATAAAAAAAATCTGCTGATTCTCCAAACTTTATATAATCTTTCATGGGAATATCAAATATTTGAACTCAATCACATAAGAATTTAACTTCTCAATAATAATTTTCCTTAGCAAACAACTAATAACGTACTAATGACATTTATTTTTATCAATCTTAAAATAATATTTTTTTCTCTATAACACAAAAAATAATATTTAAGTTTCCGATAGCCAACAACTTTGAGTATCTATTAACACTAAATTTTCTTTAATTTAACTTTCTTATTAGAAGTTTCACACTTTTTCTAAAACACTTATTTAAATTTTGCACCCCATATATGCTTCTAGAATACTTTTCATTTTACAATATTATCATTATAAAACATTCAATTTGTTTATGATCTTTTTAATTATACCTTGTTACTTTATTATAAATTTTAGGAGATAACAATAGTTATGTCGAGTAAATTTGTAGATATTATTTGCTAAATGTTGATTGAATTCCTAACCCAAGGGCTCTTACGCCCGGCCTAGGATAGACAGAGCTTCTGGAATGATGTAAATCATATTAATTCAGCTAAACATAGAACGGAACACTGTCGCTAGCTAGTGAGACTCGATTACGGGTTATTATTCTCAAACTTCAACTATGTGACCAATTGAACTACCCATACGGACTTCAGAGGGAACGGGGTGTATTGGCGCCAGCCAGTGGCTAATCAGATTGCACAATGATTGCCCACTGAGACGACCTTTATTCAAAGTAAATACAAAATCTAAGCCAACAAGTAATTCTTCAACACGAACCTATACTGTACAAGCTATCATCCCAAGTTTTAAAATTGTTTTTTTAAAAGAAAACAGTTCAGTAAAAAAGGAGAAAAAGTCCTGTAAATTAAGGTTTGGTGATTTATACTAAAAGTTGGACAATGACCTGTGAGTTGATATGAAGAAATTGACATGCTAACCTATGATTTTGCTTCTAAGAACGCGTTTCTGGGAAAGTGCAATAGCATGTTGTCTTTTGATTTTTGAATATGATCAATTGGGACATATAAGAGAACTAACCATCCTAGTCTCCTGATCTTATCTTGTTCTTTAGCATCCTAGGATCATTAATGGGCTCAGTTACAGCACCAATATGAATATGATTCTTTCAACGGACTTTAAAATATACATATATATATATATATATATATATATATATATATATATATATATATATATATATATATATATATATATATATATATATATATATATATATATATATATATATAGAATTGAATAAAATATTGTGGGGCGAAATAATGTTAGAATTGAGGGAATTCCATATATGCTGAATTATTTTTAAGTTTTTAGGTTAGATATTTTTGGGATATTGTTGATATAACCACTGTTGGTAGAGAGGATTTATTTAGGCTTATCGTGAAAGGCAAAGGGAATGAGGTTTTGTGGTATTGGCAGACACACAAAGGTTTTCCCTTTTGAGAAGAAAAGAAAAGAAAGAGGAAACAATAATGGAGCACAAAGGCTGTAGTGGCATTAGATTGGAAACAACTATTACTATTAATGCCCGCATTAATGTGCAGTTTGAATTTTAAGGAATAGGAGAACATTGTTTTAAAATGGACCATATTTTAAAGATATTATTATATATAGAAAAATAAAAATTTGTTAAATAAACTCTTTAAAGCAAGTAAATAGTACAACTGAGTTTAGCTTTGTGATTTTCTGTATTTGCAATATTAAAAAGAATTTTGGTTACAAACTTTATTGTTTGAGAACTTGTATTAGTGCGGTGTAGTTTCAACTGCTAGTTTCCAAAGGCTCTGGTGTAGTGTTTGTTCTGTCAAATCTTCAATCCGTATTTTAACTGACACTAAACCTAACATATCTAGTTTGTCATAATAATTCTAACAATTACAAGTTGGGGTTTAATCTACTTAAACACTAACAGGGTGTTTGGTTGGAGGGATTTTAAATTCCCTTTCCACTTAATTCCCACCTAATTTCAAAGGCCATTAAATTCCGTAGTTTGGTTGGAGGGAATTGCAATTCCATGGAATTGCAATTCCCCCATTTTCATGGAATTAAAATCTCATGTCCCCCCCTGTGATTTTAATTCCTGGGAAAAAAAGATAGTGATGAGTCAAAATTATCTCTTCCTTTTTTAACCTAAAATTAATGTCTAACAACAATAATGGACATTTTTTACTTTATACTACTTATTCCCTTTCAATTCCCATGTATACCAAACATTGGAATTGAAATTTCCAGTAATTCTATTCCTGTCAACCAAACACTGGAATTTAAATTCTCACTTTATTCCCAGTAATTCAACTCCCATGGAATTACAATTCCTTTCCCATATTGGTTGAAGGGAATTTAAATTCCCTTCCCACTTAATTCTAAAGGCCACAAAATTCCCTTGTTTGGTTGAAAGGAATTGCAATTCCCCCATTTTTATGGAATTAAAATCCCATGCCCCCTCCTGCGATTTTAATTCCTGGGATTTTAGGAAGAAAAAAAGACAGTGATGAGTCAAAATTACCCCTTCCTTTTTTAATTTAAAATTAATGTCTGACAATAACAATGGACATTTTGGACTTTATACTACTTATTCCCTTTCAATTCTCATGTATACCAAACATTGGAATTGAAATTCCCAGTAATTCTATTTTTGTAAACCAAACACTGGAATTTAAATTCCCAATTTATCCTCAGTAATTCATCTCCCATAGAATTGCAATTCCTTTCCCACGTAATTCTCTCTCTCCAACCAAATGCCCTGTAATTAGCAAGCTCGTAACCAAAAAAATCATATAAATTTTTTTTTGGAGAGGTAGAAGGGGGCCCCAACCAGGCTAGTGTCCGGTTCTCATGGCGGTCATGAAATGCACTGCAGCAGCTTTGTCTTTCTCAAGACTAGGGCCGTATTTTAAGTTTTGGTAGCCCTGTTCTAGTAAATAAATGTGGCCCTATCAAAATCACAATTTTTAAAATCAATACATGCAAATTTTGAACATTTGACCTCCAAGTTAAAATACAACAAATACACATTTTTACAATCTCTTCATAGAACCTTTTAAATTTAATTGAAAATTTTTAATTTTTATTTCTAAACTAGCTAGATAAAAATTAAATACTGGACCTATAAAATTTGGGGGCCCTCTAAAATTGGGGGCCCTGTGCGGTAGTCCAACTTGCACAGCCTAAAATCCGGCCCTGGGGTCAAGACCTTCAAGAATATCGTTCAGAGGGTTTTTAAACTCAATCCAATCGCATTTCATTATGCTAGCTACAATCTTGGCCAAATATTCAGTCATCATATTAAACTCCCAAGGGACATGGGTTACCTTTACCTCCCCGTCCTTACCAATCTAATCTTTGTAATCATATAATTTTTTTTTAAATCGCTAAAATGGTGCAATTAAGTCTTATGATAATTTATTCAACAAGTTATTACTAATTTAACAAACATGTAAACATTTTATGCCCACATGGATTTTAGGTGTAAATTTTATTATTACCATTATTATCAACTACATAAAATTATTAATTTGACAAACTACTAGTGACGGTCTTTCGTGTTGGACGATTATGACTATTAACAAACAACCACGATTGTTCAGAAATTCCACAAAAGAATAAATTTATGCAGAAAAATAAATAATAGTAATAATAATAAATTTTATCTGTAGGACCCACCTGAGTACAAAATATCTTCATATTTTCCAAATCAACAATAACCTAGTGGATAAGTGACCATAGCATTTGACTCAATTACACTTATTTGTCATTTAAAGGAATTAGATTGAACTTCTTTTTAGTTATAGATTTAATTACACTATTTACACTTTTGTGCTGAGTTGTTAATACCTATGTGGATGGTATGCATTACCATACAAATAACATACACATATAATTGTACCTACATTTACAAAAGACTATCCAACACTAGAAATTCTTATCTATGTATATGAATCATTAATTGGTCCAAATAAGATGGACCGGTAAATTATCATAAAACCTTAATCTTATTCGCACAAAATGAATAATAATGGATACACAATTATACAAAGTACAGATATAAGTTATTATCATTCAGATCAATCTATTTTAGTTTTTATCCGATTTAAATATACAAGAATATATAAAAACAGATCAAATGTATGACTTTGTATTGACATTATAAGAAATTATATATTTATATACACATACTACCAAAATATTACAAAAGGATGGATAAAAATGAAATGTAAAGTGCGGCACTCCTACATAGAACGAACATTATTGATTATAGGATTAGTATTTTGGTGGGCAGTAGAGAAACCTTAATTGAAGAATAGTACGTCAAATTGGATTAGCCAAAGCTCTCTGGAAACACACAATCTCCAAGACTAACATCACCTTCTTGATCAAGAAAATAGCCAAAGATTTCTGCACCGTCCGACGCCCACCACGGCGGATACACCCACCCCTCCGCCGCCGCCGCCGCGTCAGCCACCGTCAATTCGGCATTTGATTCCAAAAAGTCAACGCTCCCCTCCAGAGGCGGCAGCTCAATGATCTCCCCTAGCAGGAGCTCATCCGACGCTAACGTGGCTGCTGACGCACACTCCGATGAAGATGCTGACGTCGACAAAGGAGAAGAAGGAGAAGAAGAAGAATTCAGCTCCTCCATTGCGGCGGCTTTGGCGGCGGCGGCCTGAACGTCTCTGGGCGAGCGAGACGTCGGGGTAGGGAGGGAGGCGGCGAGGTGGGGGAAGTTGAGGATGGCGGAGCTCCCCTTGATGCTCAGCGCCGCCACGTCGTGAGCTCTCGCCGCCATTTCGGCGGTGGGGTAAGTTCCCAGCCATATCCGCGACTTCTTCCGCGGCTCCCGAATTTCCGACACCCATTTCCCCCAGCTGCGCATCCGCACGCCTCTGTACACAGGGTGTCTATGCCCACCGCTCTCTCTGCCTCTCTTCCCACGCCACCTACTACTCTCCGAAACCTTCGGAGTTTTCACCGCCTCTGCGCCGCCGGACGACGAGCCCAGAAGAACAGAGTTTTGCATGGACGAATTGGGGGAAGTAGAAGACGATGAATTTGCATAGCTTTCCGCTTCCGAACTCTGCGTTTCTGCTTCCGCCATTGTTAAGAAGAGTGAGTTTGAGCTTTTACAGAGAAGAGTTAATGGAAAAACAATTGCCCGTTGGAGAAAAAAGGACAGGGATACGTAGATTTATATAAAGAAAAAGAATTGAAGATTTTTTTTTTTTAAAAAGTAATTTTTAACGTGGACTTGGTACTATTGGTATTGGTTGGTGTTCTCGTGCTTTTTATTTTTACATTTTAAACAACAATCAATTTAAAATAAATATAAGGAATAATAAAAGATTACAAGTAAATCATACCCGTGATTTTTAAGATTTCAACTCAATCGTGTGAATTAATTTATTGATCTATCCGCCACAAAATTCTTGACATTAAAAATTCCCACTAAATTACAAATAGTTCAAGACTAAATAGAATTTATAACAGATCATGTTCAAAAATATTTAGAACCAGGCAACCCAGTCGACATTACCGAGTTGTTGACTTGGTAACTAAATGTTTAAAGTTTAACTTTGCAGTAGAACGATTTATTTACTTTCCTAATTTGACTTGATCAACATAGCAACTTAAGTTAATTTATCATTTTATCTTAGTGTGGTCACAAAATAAAATTTACCAGAGTTACCACCATCTAATAAAATTTACCAAAGTTGAACAGAACGAAGTCCAACTTGATCGATCTTTGAGTGATTACCCCTTTGTGTAAGTTGGTAACTACATTATGCTACATGTAAGAATTTCACTTTCTATAAATATCACACCATCCATTGTAATCATCTTCAATAAAATGAAGTTTATAAATACTTTATGGTTTAATGATATTATTGTTAGGAACTTAAGATCTCACTCTTTTATAAATACCACAGAAAAATTTTATAAGCTAAGGGAGAGAAGTCAAAAAAACATTATCATACAAACATCTTATACTCTTCATTTGACCAATATCTATATCTCAATTTTGTAATGTCTTCACGGACTTTAATTCAAACTGAGATATATGGGGTAGGCAACTATATATAGTAATTAGTAACGTTGTTAATTGCCGGGTAACCCTAAAATCCACCACCTCATATAATGGATTTAGCTTAATGTTTATTTTTAATTTTCTTTTTTCATTTTCAAGATTTAAAAATTGTTAGAGTATCACTATCAATGGATTTTAGTGAGTTTTTTTTTTTGGTTTTTTTGGTTTTTTTGGTTTTTTTTTTTTTTTTTTTTTTTTTTTTTTTTTGGAAGGGTTCACTAAAAAAAAAAAAAAAAACAAAAACAAAAAGTTTTTTTTTTCGCATTATGCACACCTATGCACTCACTCGAGCGCGTATACTCCACGAGCCCGCTAGACATGTAAATCCACATTTTTATACTATTTTTTTCTTTCTCCTTTTTTCCTACATACTTAGACCTAGAAAAAAATAAATAAAATAAAATAAAATAAAATAAAATAAAACTCCACTATTGACCTTGCTCTTATAGCCTCCCCCAACCCCCCCGCCCCCCACCACTTGCATTTGGATTCCTTCAAATATCCAGCATGACTCCTCCATAACTATCCTTTTGTGGACGTTGATGCTAGCCAATTGGTTTTCAAACTCTTCTGTAATAAAATTTGAAAGTTGATTCTTAAAAAAAAAAAAAATTAAATTTTTTTTTTGAAAGTTGATGATCATTGATATAGTCAAATTAAATTATGCACTAATAAGAGATTAAAATTATTATATATCACTATAATAATATAATTTAGAAATTAAAATCACAATTTTTCTTATAAATACATCTGATAAAACTCTTTGGAATACAAACCCTTAGCAGTCAACTTAGACTTAATTATTATATATTCTATATAAAACATAATTATAGACTCATTGATTTTTGTATATGAGAGGTGTTTGAATTCTTGATCTCTCTTAATGAATGAAAATGCACAACGATCAATGTTGCAAAAATCTAGCCTAGGTACCAATTAGGCGTTAGGCGCTGGTCAGCCACCTAGCGTATTACCATAATTGGTGCTCTAGGCGGCTGACCGGCTAGGCGACCGTCTAAGCCTCTTAGGCGTCGACTAGGCCTCCTAGACACCGACTAGGCCGCATAGGCACCAACTAAGTCACCTAGTCGGTCGATTAGCTATTGTACGTTCCATTCTTTTAAAGTGGATTATTTCACTCAAAACGATATCGTTTTGAGCGAAATAACCCTAGATTGTTCAAACCCTAGGTGTTTTTAGGCTAATATTTAATATTTTAATGTTAACTATTAAAGTATTAAATAATTTATAATTATCAAGTCTTAAAAAATAAAATAAAAAACAAATTTTTAAAAAATAAAAAATACACGGGCGCCTAGGCTCCAACTAATTCCTGCCTATGCGCCCGATGAGCGCCTAGTGATTTTTTCAACCAATGACGACTCATGCAAACCAAGCTAGTTATAACGACTAAGATTAGTATAGTGGTTTATTGACATTAATTAAATAAGCCATGAACCAAAGATCTATATATAAATCATGTGACAAAATTTTGTGTGAAACCGTCTCACTGATTCTTGTTCGTGAGACGTGTCAGGTCAATATGAAATGTAATACTTATACTGCCAAATGTAATACTAAATCATGAATAAAATGTTTATTACTTATATGAGAAAATATAATTCTTTTGAAGGAAAATGTAATATTTTATATTTTTATATAATAGTATTATTTTTTTTCATCAAAAGTACTTACAAGTAATTTCAAAACTATAATACTTTTGATATAAAAAAAAAAGTAAAAATATTACATTTGTCCTAAAAAATATTACGTTTTCTCTAGTAACAAATACTTTATTCTTAATTAGTATCACATTTGCTAATATAAGACTATAAATATTACATTTGAATATGTCTTACGGATAAAGATATGTACAGCCTAATACAAATGGGATCCAAAACTTCTTTTACCTAAACTCTCATAATAGAGATGGTCAGCAAAGGTTTTTTTTTTTGGTTTTTAAAAAAAAAAAAAAAAAATTAAAGTCGAATCCGATGCCATTCAATGCTGTAAATTAATAATATTTACACTTACTATTTTTTTTTTTTTTTTGACTGCACTTACTAATTATTATTATTTTAATACATGTATAAATTAGGGAGTAATATAAGGTCTTTTTCATATCCCACGAAATTTGCTGTATGAACAAACATATGTTACAGAAATTGAAAATGTATTGGACCGATTTAGTCTAACGTAGTAAGTATTACATATATTATCCCACCAAATACAAAAGACGGAATATGAAATTTCATTGATAAGAAGAAAGCAGATAATACGCGTCAGTGTATAACTGTATAGAGTGCGGGTAGCCGTAGGAGAACGGAACGAGAGAGGTGCGCGCGTGGGACCCATGATCCGTTAGTACGTGGTGTTCTGAAACGTTCACGTACCTTTCACTCATCTGACCGTTGGATATAGACCAAGTCCGTAGAGCCTTTAACTATACACTTTATGTATTTATGGCTTTTTTTCCCGTTACGGCCTACGGCTATTGTTCAAAATCCCAAACTTCATGTTTCACCCCCGTTTTTTGACTTTCTTCTTGTGTATGTGTTTCTTTTATTTTTCCACTTTCTTTTTTCTAATTGCAGTCATTTTTATGTTAGCTTCATCATTATTTATTTTTTAAATGCACTATAATCTTCACCTAAAAGGTTGAATCCCCAACTTTAAGAGTCTACACCCGATCTGACAGAGTATTTGAGAGAATGTAAATTACGGTGACTCAATGACTCAGCAGATAGAGCTAAATGCCGGTGCCTACAAAAAATCTGTCAACTTTAAGCATAATCCCTACACTACTGCCACCAAAGTCCAAACCTTGATCTATTCTCCCAAATATTACATACTGAATCATTGCGCTAAACCTGTGCGGACAAGACATGCACTATAATCTATTCATAGATTTGGGTGAGTCTCGAACCTAAATTTTTTTTTTTATGAGAATAAATAATGATGTCATCAAGTATTTGGCAAATTTATCACTATTTATATTTTAAAATTTTTAAACATTATAAGATAATTTTATAATTTTTTCATTTTTATTAGTTTATATATTATTAAGAATTATGAATTAATAGGTAAAAAAAATATGTGCATTTAATGTTTATTTTAAAGGAAAATTGTAAAAAATGCCCCTCTATAATTGACCAATTATTAATGTCGCCCCTGAATTATGAATGGTGTAAATGTTGCCCTTCAATTATCAAAATGGTGCACATATAGCCCCTCCCGTAACGGACCTGTGAGTCAACGTTAGTCTACACCGTTTAGTTGGGGGTAATTAAGTAATTTATTTATTTTTTTTCCTTTTTCTTTTTATATTTTCCATTTCCCCTCATCAGACCATCGCCATTGAAGGGAGCGTCGTTTTACCTTTTCTCTTTAAGTATGAGTGGAACCATCACCCACTTCACCAACTCACTTTCGCCATTTTTTTTTTCTCTGTAAATTCCTCTCATACGCCACAAGTAATTGAAACGTTTTTCGTTGTTCGTATACTCTTTGGTGGATTTTGAAACCGTAATGGCGGCGGAGCAGATTCGCAGCAGAAAGCTCATTGTGGAGATATGTAATGCGAAGAATTTGATGCCTAAGGATGGGCAAGGCACCGCTAGTACCTATGTTCTGGTGGATTTCGACGGCTAGCGACAGCGGGCGGCGACTAAGTTTCGGGATCTGAACCCGCAGTGGGAAGAGCGGCGACTAAGTTTCGGGATCTGAACCCGCAGTGAGAGGATTAAGATCGCCCGGAGTAGTTTTTTGCAGGAGGGATCAGAGGCGCTGGTTTACTATTCTTTAGAGAAGCGCATCGTTTTCTCACAGATTAAGAGCGAGATCGGGGTTAAGGTTTGGTACGTGGACAAGGAAGCGGTGTCGCCGCCTCCGGAAGATAAGACGGAGGCGCCGACGGAGGATAAGCCGCCGGAAAAGGTGGAAGAGGGGAGTCCACCGGCCGCGGACGGGGATAAGAAAGAACAGACCAGGAAGATCAGGAAAAGAAGCAGGAAATTTAGGAATTGAAGAAGAAGGAAGATTAGCCGCCAGAGGATCGGAAAAAGGAAGAGGAAGCTGCTCCTCCTCCTCCACATCCACCGGCTG